TGTTTGTTATATCTACGGAGACTCGAGAGACTCTATGCAGTGATTTCTTGCAACCGTGAACGAACCGTGAAATGTTCTTGTTAATCTTATCTCGTCATTTGATTCAAATGACGAGATAAGATTAACAAGAACATTTATTAGCTTACATACATCCGACTTGGATTTTACATAAATTGCGAAATTATACCCCGACTTACGTGAATTCAACTTATGCGGTTATTGCTCGGTCCCACCTATCGTGTAAGTTCGGGGTATTACTGTACTTCTTAAAACAGGTGTATCTATATCATATCTAAATTTTACAGCAATACAGTGGTGCCTCGTATAATGTACTTAATCTGTTCCAGGTGCACATCTGTTAAGTGTAAAGTCCGTTATACGAAACGCATTTTTCCATAGAAATACGTGTTAAAACATATAATTCATTCTGCAGCATAAAATAACCATACTGTACCATAAAAAAAATGAAAATGTAGTAGTCACCAATTATGCCAGGTAGTCAGATGTGAGGAGGATGTGGAGGAACACTTTCTTCACACATTCATACAGATACAGACTTTTTACACATTGCAGCAGGTCTCTTTTTATTGTTTTTTAATCAGAGTCAGATTCAGGAGAGGCTACTGGAGCTTGTAGGGTCAACTCCTCTTGTTCCATCCTTTGTTTTTTGCCTGCTGGTTTCTTGAAAAACATGTCCAAGGTAGTCTGTTTCTCTCTCTTCTTCAACACCTGTCGGAAATGACAGGCAAGGGTGTCATTGTAGATATCATTGATCCTGTTGGCCTCAGCTCTGTTTGGATAGTTAGTGTTGGTAAACTCCTGAACTTCTCCCCATTTGACAAGGAAGTTCATGTCAACTTTCACTCCTTCTGATGATTTCTTGCTTTATTAAAATTGAAATCACCTTTGTTTTTTTAGAAGCCATGATTTGCACAACACTTGAATAAATGTAAATACTCTACATTGAGGTGATGTACAGTACACAATAAACAAGGGAGCAAGCCGAATCCTAACGGGAGCTCTGTACTTCAGATATATGCCTACTAATAATACTAATATATTATAAAAATAGCAGGTTGTCATTGGCAATGGCAAAAGAGTGGAATCATCATTCACACTTGTTTGCAGAAAGTCCATTGTTTGCCTCATGTAACTGCTGAACGGAAAGTCCGTTGTTCACATCGTCCATTATATGAGGCACTACTGTATTTTTATTTCAACACGGAGCATTATTACACAAAGCATAATCCTTATATTTCTCACTTATTATAAATTTTTTGTTATAATCAATACTTATTATTTCTGAAATTCTTCTTAATTATATAAAATATTTTGATGCTAAAAATTTATTTTTCTGGTATAATTCTTGACTTCTAAATTCTATGATGTAATTATGTCATAAATTTACAATGTTGATCTTATTAATTTATAACATTAAATTTTAGTTTATTGTTTTACTCTATTTTTTTAAAATAGAGTAAAACAATAAACTAAAATACACAGTTCAATATGCGAGCTTCTGATTACAAGAAAAAATTTTTGGTTAAGTGCAGAGACATGAATTGCCACTTCCACTATCTTGTAATAATAATCAGGCCATTTATGGAATCATTATATGGTACATTTGTCATCCATTATTATTATGCTTAGTTAACATTTCAGTTCAGTCATAGATACACAGTATATTTTAGAATGTCATATTAATACAATACTAACATAAAATATGATACAAAAACTTTATTTACAGTCAGTTCCCAACTTATGATGACCAATACTAATGTATTAAAAAATAAGTTTTGATTCCAATCAATCATTAACAGCACAGTACAATAATTAAATGTTAAATATAATACACTAATGAGCAATAAACACATTTATTGGGTTTGATGCTCAATACACTTAAACAGCATCAATGTGTTGTATTATGATAAGAATACAAAATAACTGATTATTATATGTATGTGTGTGTGAAATATTATAGGCTTATGCATGGCCTTGAGAATTTACCATATTATCGTCATCATTTTTTTGTTTGACTTATGATGATAGTTGGGGACTACCTGTATTCTGTAAGTTTTGCATACATCTTTTGTTATTTTAAATCAGTGTGTTAAGAAACAAATTACAATTAATTTGTGTTCAGAAAACATTATTATTATAATAATAATAAATTAATAAATGAAAAAGTAGACATGACAAATTTAAATAAAAGAATCTATTGAAAATCTTTAGTAATTTTCTGTATTTTTTAAATAAGATAGATGTAGAAGGATAGATGTGCAAAAATTATGGTTAGTCATCCTAAATTCCTGAGTTCTCATGCCAAAACTGGAAACTTATTTGTAACATCATTTATCAAATACAGCTGCATACTGCATTTGAAACTTATGTCACTGCTAATACTTCTTGGCTGAATTGAATAAATTTTCTCTACAATTCTCTGCAACACAAATTTGTGCCATTCCTGGAAAAACAACTGCTAATAAATTAATAGCAAATGATTAAATTAATGAGAGAAAATTCAATGAAAATATTTATAAGTTTTACCAAACCATTATACAGGTGGTCCCCTACTTATAAATGTTCAACTTACAAATGTTCAGACTCAAACAATTTGACCATATGTCTAAAACTTAAATTTTGCACATATTCTGAAGTTCTCTTGCTAGTTGTGGGGTGGCGTTGAAGTCAGTCTTTAGCCAATAATAAATAACATGGATTTATTTCTATCACATATCATCATTTTTCATTTTTGATTGAAATATGACATTCCATTGCCACTCGTAAGGTGGCATCTAAGTTGGTTATGTTGGAGTATTGGCATTTTTTGTTGTTTGCAATTTTTATAAACTTTTACAATTAATGCTTCAAAAATGTGTCCAAAATGTAATAGTAAATCTAGCAGTGGAGATAAATGCAAGAAGTTTGGTTCTGTTATTGTGGAAAATAAATTTCACATTATAAAACTAAAAAAAAAAAAACAGCGTTTGAAATACCCACTTCTAAGCAGTAGCAAGTGGGTAAATGAGTGTAATGTGTTCTATTAAGTACATTGAAGGATCAAACACTAACAATACATAGTTATTGTGTACAAATGTACTTTCTAGGTTAGTTTTTAACTTACAACAAAATGCCTCAGGAACCTAATCTGTTCATAAGTAGAGAAGTGTTCGTATAATATTTGAAGACAAAAGTTCAGCATTGGTCAAACAGAAAATTTAGATGGATTTGTTTAACTTCCGAGATAAGTTAGGTTGAACTAGAAGAAACTGCAAGTTTTCTCAATACAATAATAAAATAAACTCAATAAACACATGAATTATTTGATGAAAGATCAATGCTAAACAAAGCTTTCCAACAACAAAAACCAAGAATAGTACCTAAAGACTAAATATCCAAAGACAAGATAAATGGTTGTCAGTTTTTGAGGTATTCCAAAATACTAATTTGCTCTTCAGAAGTACTTTTAAGTTACTTGAGTTTGCTATGTATGTTTACCGTAGACATCAACTCCATTAGAAACAATATTCTCCACTATGAACAATATTCATTCATCAGAATAGTGTTGGCTACAAGTTTAAGTAATAAAATGCCTATTAAATGTGAAAGTGAATTCTAAATATTCTTGTGAAAACTTTTATAACAAAATCTTATAAGTAGTTTAAAGGAAAGTATTTTCTAGTAAGAAGTACAATAGGTCTAAAACAAAAACAATCATTCATTCTCATCATTTACTTAATACATACTGTATGTAATATTTTTTTCTTTTCTGTTTTACTAGAAAATGCACCCAATATGTACAGTACAATAAAATGCATTTAATTGCTGTGTAAATAATCACAAGAAGAATTTTTCAGGAAAAGACAATAATTTGTCTGTCTTTTGGTATCATTACAATATTATAATACAGTACTGTATTTTATTATCCTATTAGATAAATACAGTATATTAAGATAGGCTATTTGGGGAATTGGTTTGGTTTTGTACACAAATGTCAGTGTTTAATTTTAAATATGATGTGCGTTAATTTAGTGCCTGCTATTGTGGGTAGACTAATCGATACAGGATGACATTTATCTTTCAGTTAAAATACAGAATGAACATTGTGAGAAAATGAATGCTGTGAGAACGAAGAATAAAGGAAAAATTAGCATTATGTATATGTGTCCTTTTTTGAGACTGGGGAAAAACTGATAGATGAGAGAAAATGATTGATAAGGGAACAATAGATCAAGGTTTCACTATATTTGAAAATAATTCAAAACATTCTTCCAAAATTATAATTTTCACGAATAGATTATATTAGTTTGGAGTAATGCAGGAGTGATTTCGCTTTAGAGTCGCCTATTCCCCAATTCATTAACAAAAAATACTTCAGTATTGGTAGGAATATCAGTAAAAACAATAAAATATAAAGAAAAATACATAAAAAATAGTTATATTAAAAAAAAAAACTTGTGTTTTAATTGAAGANGTACAGTCGACCCCCGTATAAGATCATTGATTATTCCGTTTTATATGAATTCCATGTTGTACGAGTCACTTAGATTTTACAAATACGTGTACCGGGCTGTGAACGGCTCACGTATTTGTAAAATTTAAGTGACTTGTACAACATGGAATTCATATAAAACGGAATAATCAATGATCTTATACGGGGGTCGACTGTATTGACTTAAATTTACAATAAATGTTACTCCTTAATAAAAAGTTAATAAATGCTCAATGAGGGTTTTTTTTTAAACTCAACTTGTTAATGGAATGGTTAATGTGTAAGCTTACACAACTCAATCCAAGCATTGATTTTTGACTGTTAATATAAAAAATCTTTATCTGGAACTCATCCAAACATTCAATGCTTCATCCTGTTAGAAATGTGTATCATGTTGCATGAAATATCACATGTTATGATAGTCCAATGAAATCAATAAGCACCTTATACATATATATATCTTTTAGTTAATTTTTTCATCTACATACCTTATAACTATAATAAATACCTTATCAGTTTTTGGTAATTTTCTCATAAATGATTTTTCAGCATTTTTCACAATGACAACAGCTGGCTGAAATGCTTTACCCACTTTTTCAACAAGATGCATAAGCATTTTTGAACCTGCTTTTCCTGGATATTTTCCAATAATATTTTCTGGAGATAAATCAAATATTATGGATTGTGTTGCTGAACATATTGCATTAACTAAGAATTTCTTTCCAACACCATGAGGACCAAAAAAAAGTATAGATTTTATAAGTGGAGTAAGTTTATGGACATTAGGATTACCTAAACAAATAAAATAATTTTTTTTATTAAGCAATAACACACAATACATATTCTAAATTTTTTATAAGACTATTAATTAAAAATCATGATTTGTTATCATTATTTATTTTTGAAATTTTTCTATTTTTATTATAATTAGTAAAACTTGACACTATATATATCTATATCTATAAATGAGAATGTTTGTTTGTTCGCTATGCACTTCTAGGCCATATGACTAATTGCTAGAAAACTTAGCAGTTCCATTAACATATTACTAACTCAGATAACATCATACATCTCACCCCAAAATATTTATTGGATTCCTATATATCAATTAATGTTTGTCTACATTGGATTTACATGTAGGCCATCTACTGGCAAAAAAATTTAAAAAGTAATAAACTAAATATAATTCATACAAAAAATATATAATTTAAAAAAACATAATTATTATATTCACTTAATTACTGCAACAATGATATATTGCAAAATAAACATGCCATATTACTTTGATGAGTAGCACAGCATTCACCTGCATGGAGTTGAAACTGTTACACTATTAGTTGGTCATGTGTTTGCACATTGCCAAAGGCTGGCCATGTAGAGTTTTCCAGGTTTTCTTCAAGTTAGTAACACCTAAATATGAGCCAGTTTCTCATAAAACTCTTCCCAGGAGACATCCACCTTGTCATATCACCCACATGTCGCATTGCCGTAACCAAATAAATAAAACTAAGTGTAATAATTTTTCTATGAACTTGCTATTTATAAGGACATACTTCCCACATACCATAATTTTCAGCATTCTAATAATGGTCTTAAAATGGGTTTTGCCACATATATTTTTGAAATTTATGATTAATAATGTCAGGTGTAACATTTACTGCAAAGGGTACTTTATAAGCCTGAATGAAGCTGGGCATAATAAGCTAGTATACTGCTTGTTAAGGCTGCTAAATATTTAACTTTAAGGTGTTTTCAGCTCCATTTGAGCCACCTTCAGTACAAACTCTACCTTTGATATTCTAAGAACAGCATTTAGAATATAACTTTAAATAGAACAACTTAAAAAGAATAAATTCATATTGAACTTAGAACAAACTCTTTAAATTTAAACTTAAATTTAAATCCAAGTTTAAATTTTACAAAAACATTTTTAAATCTATAATTTAATTTAAAATCTAAATTTAATTTTCAAATCCTTAAAATCCAAATTTAAGATCTTTAAATTTATAAAGTATTTTAAATTATTGTTAACTAGCAAGAACCCATTGAAATTGATTTTATTCAATTAAAATACAATGAGCTTCCTCCCACTGGTCCTCTCTCTCAATGGCTTTTTTCAATTTTGTATCAGGTCCCAGAGTGGCAATTTAGCATTCCTGAGGTTAACCAACTTCAACTGGTAGGGTTTCAATTAATGGTGATTATGTCAATTTCATTGACTGTTATAAAACTCTTAACTAACGAACAGTCATATGTTCAAGTTTATTTTTCTTTTAGTTGGTAGATTTGTCAAGAAAGCCATTAATTGGCATTAAGTAATGAATTGGACAGTTAAAATCATGTTTTGATCTCATCATGAAATAATCTATATCTATATAGGTGAACAGGTATGCACAGTATTGTAAAAAAAAATCTGTTTTGTTAGTCTGTATAAAAATATACTATAACATAACAGTTCAGAGATCATACTGTGAATGGTGTTTGTATGTGGTGGTAGCCCCAAGTCTCCATTCATGCATAGGGGTGGTTGGATCTCGATAGCTATAAGGGTGCGGGAGATATGAGGCTGAAAGTGGTTGAAAGTGGCTTTCTATTTCGAATGTTTTGTTCGATTTTTTCGAATTTGTTCAAATTAAATTCGAACATAAAATTCGAATTGGTTCGATTATAGAACGATTGAAAACGTTCCAGAAACGTTGAAATTTGTTCGTTTGACTAAACGTAAAAATTCTCTAATTAGTCTGGAAACGGGGGACCTAATTCTTGCATTTTGTGAAAACAGGTAAAATTAGCTATAATGTAATTATCTTAATCTTCACTATCGTTACTTTTTGCCCAGCAAAGCGGGTCCTTGCAGCTAGATTCTAGATTACTTAGAAAAACAGTCTTTTATATATATAAAAAAAACTATACTATTACATACAAATAAAAACCCAGCAAAGCGAGATCTTGCAGCTAGTAGTAAAATAAAAGCAGAGATTGGTGCTAAAAGTTTGTAGATGGCACTGTGGTCAATATTGATAAAACTAATTTATTGAAAAAAACAATGCAAAGTGTTTTTTAATTAATGTGTAATCTCATGTAGTAAATTTCCTCCATATTTGAAGAGTTCAGAACTGTTACCATCTGGGCCAGCAGCTTTTCTATGTTTTAGAGAAAATATTATTTCTTTATACAACCCCAACAAAAAAAATCTTGGACAGCACGTTCTCTAGCTTATCCTTCAATAATATCAAATAGAAAAATTTTGTACGCTTATAATTATATTAATAAACTTTTGTTATAACTGAAGATTTTACATAAAAAATTTTCATGTTGACAATACATAAAAAAGTTATGAGCAGTTGGAAAAGCATGTGTGACAAATAATACCTCAGACAGTACATTAATATTTAGTTATTTCACCTTTGGCTTGTATAACAGCGTTCATATGATTGTGAGAATAGTCGGGGATACTAATTCGCTAGGAAGTTAATATCATTTAATCGGCGCTAGTTCGTGAAATTAGTTCTCTAAAGTTTCGGATTGTTGAGATCCGATCTTATTTTATTCATAGGAGGGTTGTTAAATATTAAAGAGGATATAGACGGCGAAGTCTTTATCCAACGTCAGGATTCCTGTGACACCAGTTAATCGAATTTGGATATGCGGATTAACACGCATGAGGGGTCTGATTCAGAGATCGAGGAGACATTATATTAACTAATAATAAAAGGAATTTAATAAACATATATATAAGTAAACTATACAAAAATGGAGTTACAAATGAATGAGACACNGGCGAAGTCTTTATCCAACGTCAGGATTCCTGTGACACCAGTTAATCGAATTTGGATATGCGGATTAACACGCATGAGGGGTCTGATTCAGAGATCGAGGAGACATTATATTAACTAATAATAAAAGGAATTTAATAAACATATATATAACTAAACTATACAAAAATGGAGTTACAAATGAATGAGACACAATGAATTCAACTTATATATGTAGAGAGAGAGAGCTCACAATTTCATATTAAAACATACAACTTGTTAGTTGTCCTTCCTTTCCTCCCTATGAGATGTATTTACTTCTCTCCTGGAGTTCTCTGCCTTCTGTTCATGGAGAGATCAACTTAACTGAGAATATTTATGTCTATGGAAGTAAGCCTTTTGTATACTGTATTTGCTCATAGCATAGGGCGTTGGCCTTTAGGAGCTTGTATGGATTTCGTCTGAATACTCTGGGATCTGTTGACGAACTCCCCGAATTCGGCTGAACTTCGCCGATATCTTCCCATTTACGACCAATTATCATTCGAGGCTTCATCCATGTGAACGGATGGGAAGGGGAAGAAATAAGGGGTAGATATTTCCCATCGTGGCGAGATTTTTAACAGATAAGGGAAAAACAGAGGATGCTCATACTTCTGTCAAAGAAAGTGACTCTCTTCTTTGCTTTCCCAAGCTAGAAAAACGTTAATTTCCCTTCAAATTGAAAGAATATTTAATTCTAAATTATTATTTTAGATCCGGGGCTATTCGGATCTCACATGATCATTCATCATATCAACAAAAGCCAGGCATTCATTTGGAGTAATTTCATCCCAAATTTGCTCAACTTCTTGGAGGACTTTTTTCAATGCTTTTTTAAATTTTACCCTACATATTTTCTACATATAGGGGAAAGGTCGAGACTGCTCAATGGCCATTTTAATGTGTTAATATTGTTGGGCCAGCCAAGCCTTGTTGGTTTTAGCAGTATGACAACTTGCAACCTGCTGGAAAATAAAATGTCTGTGATATTGTAATTTTTCGAATATTGGTAATAGGTTTTCCTCAAGGATTTGTTAGTATTTTGCTGCATTTACTGATACTTCAATGAAATGCAAATTTCCCATACCTTGGGCTGACATGCAATCCCACATCCTAACACTTGCTGGGAATTTTACATTGTGCTGTAGACAGTCATGATGGAATGCATTTTCTCACTTTCTAATGACTTTTTTCTATTGCCTTCGATGCAGACTTCAAACTTTGCCTCTTCACTAAAAATAACCTGCTTCCACTGCTGTTGTGTCCACCATTGGTGCTCTTTGGCATACTTCAATTGATCTTTTATTTGTGTTTTTGTCTTTGTCCAAGAAAACAAATCACATGCCATAATTGTTAACTAAAAATAATATTTTCTTACCTGATAGAAGCTGTAGCCAAGTTTGTGCAGATAGATACTAGTTTCTTTTGTAACTTCCTTTCCAGTAACTTTATTCCATTTGTTCACTAATTCACTGAGTGATGCCCTTTGATTTTTAAAATTATTTCATAAAGGTGCTTGTGATCAGTCTTTGTTATAGTTGCTGGCCTTCCAGTTGATTTTTCTGGATGAATTTTACCAGTTTATTGATATTTTGAAACAATATCCCATACTGTGGAATTACCAATTTTTAATTATTTTGCAATTTTTTTAAGGATTTGCTTTATCTGTGGATGATGATAATTACTTAATGTACATCAACACTTACAGCCTTACCAGGTGCCATTTTCATTAAACAAATACACCTCAATAATGTTAATACAGAAAAATATGCAAATATCACATCAGCTCATTTACATATTTAGGAACAGGTCATTTAATGTATTGTCAGAGATATTATTTGTCAGAAATGGCTCTCTCCAAGCTTTTTTTTTGTCATACATGCTTTTTTTCAACTGCTCATAACATTTTTTATGTATTATCAACATGAACAATTTTTTATGTAAAATCTTTAGTTATAATAAAAGTTTACAAATATAAAATAATTATAAGTGTACAGAATTTTTCTGTTTGATATTATTGAAGGATAAGCTAGAGATTAATTAAAATAATATGCTGTCCAAGGTTTTTTTTGTCAGGGTTGTATTCTTTCACTGTGGTTTACTCTACATCCTTAAACTTCATTCAAGTTCACTATAATAGGACAACTTGAATTGAACCATAAATTTATAATGCTGAATCCATTTGTCAGATGGAATAATATTTAAGTTTTCATTGTCTATTTCTTCTCTATTCAATTTCTTAAGAATTTTATATGCCTTGTTCTGTCTTCCATATATATCTTTCTCTACATAGTTAACAAATCTTTTTCAGTATTCTATTTAATGTACTTGTTAGAATTTGACATGGGTGTCTTGGGAAAATCTGCATTTAGCAAGGGTGCCATGAATCAAAAAAGTTTGGGAACCACTGGGTTAGAATTTTACATTTTTAAAATAAAATAAAATTATAAATTTATTTTGAAATGTATGCATAAAGTAGTCTCTATTTCATAGTACAATAAAGTGAAAATGCATGTTTTGTTACATTAATTAATATAAATTCTCACTTACTTAAAGGAAGAATGCAATATGCAATAATAATATGTTTTATATCAGCACAATAATGCCAAACTGGTTCAATTCCTTGACTTAACAATGATGAGCCAATAAAATTGTAATCACCAAAATAATCATCCAAACTTGTAGGAACACTCTTTATAATTATACCATTATCCAACAATTCTTTATATAAGGATTCTAAAGATCTAAATTCAAAATAGATAATTAAATAAATATAACTCAACTTATTAAAAAATATTTAAGTATAAATCAGCTAAAAATAAACATGGATATTATTGCTTATTTGTGATCAAAATAAGCAATAATTTATTATTATTCATCTTAAAATAAATAGTAGTTTTTTTATAAAAACACAATAATAAATTTTTAAAATTATTTAAAAATTTAAAATTATTGTTGTTTAAAAAATCAAATCATCTAAAAGAAAGAGAAAAACAGATCATTAGAATATATGTTACCTATCTGCTGTCAAATCTCTCTTCTTTTTAGTTTTCTTTCCTCTTACTTTTCCCTTTCTTTTTTTTAACTTTATTCCTTTATCCTTTGCTAGAGCCTGATAAGAACCAAAATAAAAATAAACTGACAAAATTTCTCAAGTATTTTTCAAAAAAATTAAACATTTCATTTCTAATTTTAGATTAAGGTAATATTTAGCATTATTATTTTCTTAAATTCATAGTTTTTTTGTTACATAATCATATATATTCAATATTTCACAAAATTAAAAATTTTTTATACAGAACCAATAAACAATAACATACACCTCGAATAACAGACGCTGCGAACAACGGACTTTCTGTTTGGCCGTTACGTGAGGCAAACAATGGACTGGCTGCGAACAAGTGCAAATGATGTTTCCACTTTTTTGCCATTGCTAATGACAATCTGCTATTTTTATAATATATTAGTGTTATTAGAATATATTATTAGTATATCTGAAGTACAGAGCTCCCGTTGGGATTCGGCTTGCTCCCTTGTTTATTACGTACATCACCTCAGTGCAGGATATTTACATTTATTCAAAGTGTTGTGCAAATCATGGTTTCTAAAAAAACAGAAAGTTGATTTCAATTGAAACAAAGCAAGAAATCATCAGAAGGAGTGAAAGTTGACAAAAACTTTCTTGTCAAATGGGAAGAGGTTCAGGAGTTTACAAACATTTATTATCCAAACAGAGCTGAGGCCAACAGGATCTCTACAATGACACCCTTGCCTGTCATTTCCAACAGATGTTGAAGAAGAGAGAGAAACAGACTACCTTGGACATGTTTTTCAAGAAGCCAGCAGGCAAAAAACAAAGGATGGAACAAGAGGAGTTGACCCTGCAAGCTCCAGTAGCCTCTCCTGAATCTAACTCTGATTAAAAAACAATAAAAAGAGACCTGCTGCAATGTGTAAAAAGTCTGTATCTGTATGAATGTGTGAAGAAAGTGTTCCTCCACATCCTCCTCACATCTGACTACCTGGCATAATTGGTGACTACTCCATTTTCATTTTTTTTATGGTACAGTACAGTTATTTTATGCTGCGGAACAAATTATATGTTTTAACATGTATTTCTATGGAAAAATGCATTTCGTATAATGGACTTTTCACTTAACTGACGTGTACCTGGAACGGATTAAGTACGTTATATGAGGCACCACTGTATACTGTATTTGAATCAGCTGGTTTAGAGATATATGTTGGTTTTTTTTNTTGTATGTTTTAACATGTATTTCTATGGAAAAATGCATTTCGTATAATGGACTTTTCACTTAACTGACGTGTACCTGGAACGGATTAAGTACGTTATATGAGGCACCACTGTATACTGTATTTGAATCAGCTGGTTTAGAGATATATGTTGGTTTTTTTTCTATCTTGTTGATATATATGTTGGTTTTTTTTTTCTATCTTGTTCCTTAAATGTGGCTAAACCTTGTTGCTTGTTTGTATTCATTTTTAATGTTGCTGGTTTATTCCAAGCTTATGGTAAACTTGTTCTTGGTTCTATTTTTTCTCCTTTACTAATAAAAAAGTAAGATGTACTGCATGCTTGGCAACTACCAAGAAGTCTTGCACTGTATGAGCAAAAAGCATTGATCATTTTCCATTGGTCATTAAGATGAAAAAAATATATACTGCCATTAAGCTAATATATTAATGTTGATTCTTTTATCAGTTTTCTTACATCCTATGTTGATGACAGCAAATCTAGCATGTACAGTACTTTTTCTTTTGCAATAAACATTAGAGTATAAAAATTTTTGCATTAATATTTTTATTTTTAATATAAAACATACATTTTTATAAAAATGTATCAATACAAATTCATTTTTATAAAATAAAATTTTAATGACATTTAAAAAAATAATCAAAAGAAATGTAATATAGATGATTAACTTTCCTTTATGCAATTTACTTATAATGGAATTTGTTAGCTAGATTTAGGTGCGTGCATTTGTAGAATACATTTAACAAAAGCTGTATATTTTTGAATATTTTGAGTAACTTTATGAAAATGGCCTGTTTATTTTAATTTTTTTCCCTGCTCTAATGAATTTTCTACAAAAAAAATCATCCTCAAAAGTGACAGGAAATAAAATTATTTCTTAAAACTATGTTCACTGCACCTATGTAAGTACATGTGTTTGTAGCTATGTTTTTCAAATTTCCATCGCAAGAAGTCACTTTACCACAGCGCCATCTGATTTAGGCAGGAAACATATACAGTATAGTTGATATAGAACTTTGTTTTGTTCCTCTTACAAATACAAGATACTACTACTAATATAATAAGTGATATCAAAATGCCAAATAAGGTACAAACATGTTACAATATTTTAAGTTTTACATAAATCTACACATGCAAATTCATATAGAAATTATTACTTATATATATATAATAAATGAAATCCTGTAATTTCATTAGTTTTGGTGTTATAAAATTATTCTATTTTGGAATTAATTAATGTATTTTTAAAAGTGGATAAACTAAAAGAATGCTAATGTTTTAACTTCACTAACAGATCATTCTAAGGCATGGACAGTTGAAAATTGAATGCAAATGTCGGAAGGGTGAATAAATGGACTTTGATGTTAAGAGAAGAAAATAAAACTCTGCCAATACATAACAATATTATACAATAAAATATAAATAGTTTCAAATATTCTTTACCTTCAAAACTAATTTTACATCATATAGTTTAAAAATCCTACCACTTTTAAAACTTCTAATTCAAATCTCATTATTTCATCAACTTGCATTCGAACTTCTTCCTTCACTTCTATAAACTTTTGTTGCCTTATCATTTCTTTTTCATACAACTGAAGATCATTATTTATTTCATTTTGATTTTCCCATAGAGCTGATGACAAAAGATTCATAAATGTATCATTATATGTTTTTATTGAAAATATTTTTATTAAAAAAATATAACTGTTTTTAAAATTTATTATGGAAAGTTAGCATTACATACTAGAGAAAAGATCATCTCACAGCTTATTCCAAGCTGTTTTTTTTTTCTAACTGTTCTGAATTATCAGTAAGTTAAAAATTAATTTATTAATATGTAAGATGACAATATTATCTTTTGTAAGAAATTATGTCATAGATAAATCCAAAAACTGAAAATACTAATAAATATTTTACAATGTAAATTATCTTAGAAAACATTTTATCACAAAAAGTGACTCCTCAAATGTTTTTAGCATTTTCTGTTTTTGAATGACAACATTTCCTACCTTTAAAACAAAATACATTAATCAGATTGTTGGATTTTCCAGATTATTTTATTCTAGAAATATTTGATACATTAACCTAGTAAAATTGACATCATATTCAATTGATGGTAGAAATAGACATAAAATGATACAAGTGGACTTTTTATTGAAAATTTGAAATTATTTCATTTATAGCTCTATTGAAATCATTTAATCTTAAATATTATAGACTTTGGAAATATTTCAAATACTTTGGTTAACTTTGTATTATTTTACATCTATTCATATCAATTAGAACAAACTGAACTAATTTGAGATCAATTAAAATCTTTTATAATCAATTAAAAACAAAATTGTAAAAAATTATCACCTCAGAAAAATCAAGCACATGTTTAAGTAACCTATATTTGACTTTTCTTCATAAAGTAACATCACATATACACGTGTATATAGTGTTACTTTGAAAAAAAATCACTTAACAATTTATATAAATTAAAAATATTTGATGGCTTTTAATTTAAACTATTGTAACTTTTTTTTGGTCATACTTTTATCTACAAAATAAAAAGAAATTTGAGTTTAAAACTTATATTTCAAAAATATATGGATATAACAATATATCAATAATTAAAAATCCCTATATATGTGTAAATAGTTATATTTGTAATTAATATTAATTTTTAGAAATTTAATTAATTAACATTTTAAATAATTAACATAAGATGAATTAAACTTTCTATAATAAAAATTCCAAAACTTCTCTCTCTCTCTCAAAAACAAAATCAAACACATTTTTATAAGCACAAAAATAAATTTAAAGTTGTCTAAAGATTTACAGAATTCTCTTCCATTTCCATTACACATATACTGTCAAAATAATGTGAGGTCACTGATTTAGTTCAAAAATAGCCTATATTTATGTCAGGACAACAAGTGGGTTGGAAGATCATATGCAAGTGTGATTTGGACACTGAATCAAGATTACCATTTACAAGAGAACTTATTTAATTGAATAAAAACATGCTTACAAAAATTTTGTCTATTAGTTACATATAAAGAATTCCTTCTTATTATTGGACTAAGACAAGAGTCCAGAGAGAGTCCAAATATCGCTGTCTATGTCAATGTTAAGTCCCTTGGTGATGGATGGCTTGAGTTGATAGCTCCACGGTGCTTTGTCTGGTGAATTTTGGATCAGGTAGGACTGGGGTCAGCTGAGGTGTTCATCCACAGTTGGCTGCTCAAGAAACACAACACAAGGAACTTAAATTTTGTTTATGCAGTTGGAGTGTATCCTGATAGGCTAGAAAGATAGACAAGAAAGGATGGATCCAGAATGAGAACTTTTACAGGTTAAATCTTCAGAAATGGAACTTAGATCTTGGAGGAAGAACCTCGTGTCCTTGAGACATGAGTTTTTAAAGGGTTTTCTCCCCAATCTTGCTTTCTGATTGATCAATGATATCCCTCATAACTTTTCTATTGGTCCATCCTTGTCTCCAGGTGACAATTTTAGACCTATTGGGCTGCAGGAGAGGTTGATGTTGATGTTCAATCTGATGCCATATCCTGATGGTGATCAGATAGTGTTTATCAAACTTTGAAACTCCTTCTCATAACTCATGCCTTTTGTGTTTACATTTTTGACAGAAAATGAATGGGGACATCATCTCTTGAAACAACCTTCAAAAATCCACTAAGTGTTCAATCTTGTCTTCTCAGACTACAAAGATCTCTCACAATACAATCGCCACCTTCCTGCTACACTGGGCCAAATGTCTCTCTTCCACTCCCATCCAAAAAGTGTCCCTTTGAGGTTCCTTCATTATTTTATAAGCAAATCACAAAACCAGTCAGACTGGTTTTAATCAGTCAAAAGAGGGCTCTACTCCAGAAATAGAATGGGCCCCCATCGGCAAAGAAGAAATACATTATTAAGATAACAGAAGGAAACAGGAAAAAATAAATAAATAAAGTGAAAGAAAAATTAATACTAAATTCTATAAATTATGGTATACTTCCACAATATCTATGACAGTTTTGGACAAAGAGCCAGAAAACACAGCAGCTGAAGTAATTTTGCTGTCTTTCATTTGCTTACAAACTTTTGAGAAATGCTCCCTTTTTAAACAATTATTACAGGTTTCATTTCTTGCTGGTCACTTGGGGTGTGGGTGATACAACTAATTATACTAAAAACACTTCTTGTTGACAGCAGCTAAAGTCAAGAAAGGTTAAGGAGTGTCTGAGCTAGTGAGATGGGGTGCACTAGAAATTGTCATTTTTCACTGGAAGATGTGGACCTATGGCATTTACATTACCAGGAACAGAACTATATTCCAGATTGGATGAAAGTAATTTTAAAGCATGGGCTTGGACAGGGCCTCCTGAAATTTTAAAGAAGATTTTGTAGAAGTCTCTGTTGTATGTCTGATGTCAACAAGCCATCTATAAAGTTTCAGCAGAGACTTGGATCTACAGTCTTTACTAAGGGACATTAAAGCTTGATAAAACTGATCTCTGGACTCATCTGACTGTTTGCAGTGATTAGCCAACCAATATCTATAAAATACAATAGAACAAATCTATGCAAATATAGATAAATACAACAAAATTTATTTTATTAAGAAAGGATCAAAAGAAAATTGACGAAATTTGCAAGACTGTGACGGAAAATTGTGAAATTTGCAACTATAATGTGAACCAACGTTTAATGAAGCCCATGCAGTTTTCAAATCTGTTTGATGTTTTCTTAAGATATTCCAAGCATTGCCAAATACATTAATTAGTAAATAATAAATGCAAAAATAAACTAAAACAAAATTAAACAGAACAACTTTAATGTTGATAATATCTGTAGCATCAGCTCAGTCGGTTAGAGCATTGTGCTAATGGCGCGAAGGTCATAGGTTCAACCCTCACATAAGCCAATAATTTAGCCCTCTGCTAGGCACTGACTACAACTCCAGGTTAAGTACAATGCTCACCATACAGAACTACACAACTGTTTGGAAACTGTGTGATGAAGTCACTTATCTTCTAGAAGCTGCTCTTTCTATTATACCTACTTCTTCATCTGGTAATAATCTCCAGCAGCCCATTGTTATTTGTTGCCCTGTCTCATTATTAGAATCTTTGTAATTAGTTGGTTTCTCAACTGGTATTTGGTCTGTACCCAAATACCAGTTGAGAAAGGTAGAGTTTCCGGGTTTCCTTCACCTCATCTCCCGAACGGGGACCAGCTCCCTCTCAAGTCCTCCCAGAAGGCATACTATTTTATCTCTGTGGGGTGTTGTATTTTTCCTTCAAAATCTCTATTCAATATTTGCTGGACTTTGTTATCAATGGATTGCTCACTGCTGCTTTCTTTCATCTGTGGCTTTGAGTTACCCAAAAACATTGGTTAGGTTTGGTTGATTAAACATTGCAAACTGCAGACTTTCCTAGCTACCTATTTTTCCTCTTATTTAATAAATGACAATGGTAAGTATAAAAGTATAAACATAAGAAAATAACATGCAGAATAAAAATTGAAACATAACACATACACGTAACATAATATTACGTGTATGAGCCCTCACAAGGGACTAGTCATTTCTTATGAGCCCTCTTTGGGACTATTTTGAGCCCATCTTGGGACCCCTTCCACTAACCAACACGGATACCCTAATTATATAACATTCTTTGAAAAAAGCCTAAAACTACAAAAAAAAAAAAATTTGTAGTATTTCTGATGTTTGAAGAATTATCTGAGTTTGAGATGAGTTTCAGGGGGGTAATGTGGCCAGTGTGGCTCTTGTCAGAAATTATTGCCGTACCAGATATAAAGTAAATAAGCTGTAAATAAATTAATTGCCATTAATATCATTATTGTTGATTTTACTAAGAAAGTTACATATAGACAATAGCCAATGATAAGAGTTCATGAGTCAATTATTTCAGTTTTATTCACTGTAAAGAATTAGCATGCACTAAAATTGAGTCAGTTTCTAAATACATTGGTACCTCAGGTTACGAACGCCCCAGCATACGAAATTTTCAGGATACGACATGAAATTCGAACATATTTTTGCTCCACGTTACGAACAAAAACTCACCATACGACGTTACATTAGTTCGCATTTTTCATTTGTTTTTCTTACTACAGTTATTTTTTTAATGTATTACTTGGCTTTAATTTGAGTATGTTTTTCGTGTTGGAACGAATTATTTGGTTTTACATGTAATCGTATGGGAAAAGATGATCCACCTTACGACATTTTCATGATACGATCTCAGTTTCGGAACGGATTAATTTCGTATCCTGAGGTACCACTGTAGTTCTCTGAGAGTCATTACATAGAAACAGAATTACCAGAAATTTATCAGCTTTCAAGACACAAGTTTAAGTATGAATATTAATATTAATTAAAAAATGGATTGATGTATAAAAACCAGGCACAAACTAAAGATTAAGTATATGTATATGTGTCTTTAACATTTTCTAGAAAAACTGTAATAGCAGATAATATTTGCATCATTTGAAAGATTTTTATGTTTTGAAAGATGCTCTTGGTAAGATTAAACAAAGAAGAAGTTGTTGGTGAGGTCATAATTACCATTTAAAATTAACAGATAACCTACAGTAATGCATAATTCACATCGACTTTCAAATTGACCTTATAACATAGATAACCTGCAAATTATTTGCAAAAAATTACAATGCTTACTAAATAATTTGTACTTTTTTTAACTGAAATAAAATTAAAAATTATGAAATTTTAATATTCTAAATGAGATAAATATTACTACATATTATTTTTATTGGGTAATTACTTTTGTATTCAAGACATCCTTCAATAATAAGTGGAACACAACTGGAATGGGATGTAACAACATTTTCTGGAGTTTTCTATAATTAAAAACAATAGAACTTAATTAATTAGTTCACTTTATAACAATTATGAAATTCAAATTTGTAAAGATTGAAAAATTTATTTAATGAAAAATAAAATTAAATTCCAATGCAACTTAAACTGACATTTGTGAGTTTTTCCTTTTAACTCTACTCTGACTTTTTTATATCTAATTCTTTACTCACAATAACATATATTAAACCTGCATTATATTTTAGTCTTTGCAAATCTTCTATTATTTTTTCCCATATTATTCATAATTAGCTTACCATTAATTCATTCCAGAATAATAGAACATAAAATTAGGCAATTTATTTTTATTGTCTGCTTGTTTTATTAGCTATGAAAAGGAAATATGATATAAACAATATGAAACTAGTGAAGTGATATTGAAAAATGATTTACTGTCCCATATAATATTCAATGTGATATGGGAGTTAGTTATAACTAATAATTTGTTGAATTTATTTAACTGCTTAAAAAATCAAATTATTCATAATATTCTTACATTCCCAAATGTGAAAAACTAATTAATTAATATTAATTTATATTAACTGAAAATGAATTTTCAAGGAAGAGAAAATGCATATTTTTAATAGAAAATAAATGGACAAAATGTATAATCTCATGTGACTTACAATTATTTTATGTAAACTCTCACCAATTTGAAAAAAATTCACTCATCAAGACACAAACCAACAATTTCAGAAATTTAAATCAGGCATGGTGTCACCAAGCCATGTGGCGTTTGGTGAATAATTCCAAAAACTTACTCATAAATCACTCAAGACTTTTTTAACTTCAGTTTTCTTGAAAAGGTTTGAGAAGTATACTTTCTACCTTGGTTCAATAACAGTTCATACCAAGGCTTATCCACACAGCTATAAAGGTATCATTATATAAAATCTATGTTAATACTTCTTACAAACAGATATATATCATCCATGCTCTACAGTGGAATACTTTACACCTTGACTTCCTGAGTCTTCCCCACAGGCAACCCAAAGTGACCACTGGCTACCAGAATGTACCCTTAGTTATGTCACAATAAGTGCATGTTTGAGTAAATTATCCTACAAAGAAGTTAGAGAAGAGTTTAGGCATAAATTCCAGAAATTCGGTCCCACAAGGCAAACATTCAAGTTCTTGTGAATAAATTTTGGCAAATAGAGGCTGAGGAATTTGAGGCAGCCACCTGTATCTGCAGACACCATGCAGACAAGGAAGTTGCCAGGGGGGCAGCTGCCCCCTCCTAGAAATTCGAAAAATTATTTAAATGCTAAGTTTTAATTAAAATAATATTCTTAGGCTTCTTGTAAGTTTAAAAAAAAAAATGTTTTAATTAAGATATTTCTTCTCTGGTACATAGTAAATGATTAAAACTTTATGAATTTTTTTATTTTACCTACACATAATTCATATCCTCTATCAATTTATATCATCTTGCCCCTCCCTGGCCCATTGGCTGGCAACGCTCTTGCATGCAGACATTGTTTCTTAACTCAACTTGGTAGAGAACTTGGTATTCTACAAATCACTATAAAAAATCTTGCATTTTACATTAAAGAAATAAGCTTATCATATTCAGATATTTCATAAACTTGTTTATGCAACTTGTCAAGAAATGTGTTATGATCTATTTAAGGCTGCAGACTGGAAATTTTAATGAATAATATTTTATTTAGTGACAAGGCCACCTTTGTATTAATTTACATATGGCATAATATGTTTGACATTTTCAATAAAACTTTTAGTGAAAAATGTTGATAATTGCAATACACATTGAGACCTTATAAAAACTCTGTTTATGTTATATTATTACTGAAACATCTTACTAATTTTTTCTTATATATTTTTCTTTCTTTCACTACTTTTTTCTCTTTAACTTTTAGTTCCATTTTTTTCTATCTAAAAAATTCAAAATGATGTTTAAATAGCAATTTAAAGATTGTTTAAAAAATATAAATAATAAACTATATGTGGTAAAACTTATCCAAAATGGAACCTGAATAAAATGAAAACCTGCCAAACCCAAAAAACTATTTGGTAGTATGTTTTACAGGTTTAACTGTATAGATCAAGTATGTTTAAATAAGGTGACCAATCGTCCTTCTTTAGGGAGGACAGTCCTTTTTTAAGTTCTGTCCTCCTACATGTCCTCCTTTTCGATATTTGAAGACTAATCTGTAAATCTCCATATTCGATTGATGCCAAGCCAATCCATTGTATGTGATGTGTTTGTATTTAACGTGATGATTCATCAAGGCTTGGTACAGTGTGGCAAGATGTGATTATGAGATGCATATGCTCCGCACAAAGGACTTTGAGAGAGCACACCGCATGGAAGTGGCTTTGTTTACTTCTTACTGAAATATTACACAGCACATACATATGCAGTAGATATTATTATAGTGTATTATTGTTGCAATGAATAAAATGCTTCTTTTATTACGATATTTTTTCCTTCAATTTATTTGTGTCCTCTTTTTCATTGTAAAATAGTTGGTCACCTCAGTTTAAATGTATAAATGAGGATATTTGTTTGTTCGCTATGCACACCTAGGCTGTTTGACCAACTGCTACGAAATTTGGCATTTACGTTGACATACTTCTAACTTGGATAATGTCATACATCCCACCCCAAAATATTGATTGGATTTCTATATAGCAATTAATTTCTGTTTACATTCATTTGCTGCATTTACATGTAGTGCCATCTATTGGCAAAATGTTTAAGAAAATAATAAAACGATATATAATTGTTACAAAAAAGGATATAAGTTTTAAAAATATGCATTATATTAACTTAATATGCAACTAATCACCACACATATGCCGTAAATCCATCGGGCTAGTTTTAAGGCTAATTACTAAATAAATTACGTAATTAATTTGGCACTAGAGGTAAGCGTTAGGCGCCATCTCTTATTAATATTAATAATTATAAATAAATTAATTAATTTAAATAATTTAGAACCGCTGGGAGAAAAAATCGGCCCGGAGCGGGACTCGAACCCACAACTCCTGCTTACCGTGCAGATGCGTTGCCAGTTACGCTATCCGGACCTCCGATCCGATCTCCTCTTCCAGCGTATAACTATGTAACCATCGACGGTTATTACAATGCCGGCTGGGGACACATTCAGTGCCCACGTCCTACTCCTATAAGGCACTCAACCGGCCATCGCAAGCCCCGGCAAGGCGTAATATATATAATCATCGCTAAACCCGATGTAATATAGCTAATCACCAAACATATGCCGTAAATCCATCGGGCTAGTTTTAAGGCTAATTACTAAATAAATTACGTAATTAATTTGGCACTAATTTTTTTTCTCCCAGCGGTTCTAAATTATTTAAATTAATTAATTTATTTATAATTATTAATATTAATAAGAGATGGCGCCTAACGCTTACCTCTAGTGCCAAATTAATTACGTAATTTATTTAGTAATTAGCCTTAAAACTAGCCCGATGGATTTACGGCATATGTGTGGTGATTAGCTATATTACATCGGGTTTAGCGATGATTATAATATGCAACAATGATATAGCATGAAATAAATGTGCCATTATGCCATTACTGTGATAGGTAGCACATAGTACTTGCCTGTGTGAAGTAGTGTTTTGCCCCTGTACAGTACATCCTACTTTTCCTGTTAGCAATAGAGTCATGGCATGACTCTATTGCTAACAGGAAAAGTATGGTTATGTATCTAACTCTGTTCAGGGAAAAATCTTTGAATTGAAACAATGTGGTTTCTGATTAAAACCAGAAGTTCACTTATTGTTAATTTCAGCCTCCTGCTCTTAAGCTTTTCATATCTGATCTTGACATTCCATCTATGTAACTCCATTTTTGAAATTAAGGAAGGACAGACAGACAGACATACGACAGTGGGAATTTATAGGTGTACAATTTTTCAAATTGTAGCATAACAAATTGCAGCCCAATAAGTATCCTCCAATTGACCAATCTAACACATTTTAAAAATTCTTTGAATTGTGTACAGGAGAGGAATATAGAATTTTAAAAATGTGTTAGATTTAGTTTACAAATACTTTAAATATATGTAAATTTAAAAAAAATGTTTTTGCTTTAAACAATACCTTTTATGTATGCAACACACATCAATCTGTAAATTTTTTTATTTTTTAATAAAATTTTTTAATGGAAATAACAAAATGACTGAATTATTATATGAACAACCAAATATACTTATATTTATACATAATATACAAACAAAAATACTTACATTTTGTTCTACTGTTTGAGGATGAAAAATCAAATTTGAACCACCTTCTTTTTCAGATGGAAAATTGGGATAAGTGCTATGTTTACTTCTATAAAAAGAAAAGTTTTTAATATAGATTTGTTTTTAAATATTGTTAAAAAATATCATTTACAAATAATACATAATCTAAATTTAATACAATTATTTAAATTTATATCAATAAATGTTTTGTAATACATTATGTAGACCACAATAAAAATTTGAAATTATAATTTTCATTTTGTTAACATTTTCGTTTTGTCAATAACTGAAATTGTTACTTAAACAATTTCAGTTATTGACATTGTATTTAAATTATTTAATTAATAGATATTATTTATTGAAAAAGCTACTCTGAAAAAAATTATTTTTTTTTCTCAGATTGATCATTGTTATCTCAAATGTTAAGAAATTTAACTAGCTTTGTTAATTATGTTCCTAAAAATATTGTTATTAACAGAGATTGTAACAATGTGTTAAAAACTGTAAGGAAATTCTGCTATTGTGTCTTCTCACCAAATGTAAATAACTCAAATTTGTATTCTTATTATTTGACTATATATGACACAGAAATAAAGAGAGTTCAAAAACTAGTCCAGTTGTTTATGTTGAAACGGACTGTTATTTAAATGACATTATGATTATGTATGATTATGACAGAAAGATTATGTATTAATATTACGGATTGCAATATCCAACAACAAGTTGTTTAACTTTCCTGGCAACATTTAAAACTTTGTGTGGCATCATCTGTTATGATATTTTACTAAAAAACTTTTTATATTTATAATTATTATAAAATGGCAAAAAGCTTAATTTTGAGGGTAAAGATGAGTTNCGAGTCCCGCTCCGGGCCGATTTTTTCTCCCAGCGGTTCTAAATTATTTAAATTAATTAATTTATTTATAATTATTAATATTAATAAGAGATGGCGCCTAACGCTTACCTCTAGTGCCAAATTAATTACGTAATTTATTTAGTAATTAGCCTTAAAACTAGCCCGATGGATTTACGGCATATGTTTGGTGATTAGCTATATTACATCGGGTTTAGCGATGATTATATATATTACGCCTTGCCGGGGCTTGCGATGGCCGGTTGAGTGCCTTATAGGAGTAGGACGTGGGCACTGAATGTGTCCCCAGCCGGCATTGTAATAACCGTCGATGGTTACATAGTTATACGCTGGAAGAGGAGATCGGATCGGAGGTCCGGATAGCGTAACTGGCAACGCATCTGCACGGTAAGCAGGAGTTGTGGGTTCGAGTCCCGCTCCGGGCCGATTTTTTCTCCCAGCGGTTCTAAATTATTTAAATTAATTAATTTATTTATAATTATTAATATTAATAAGAGATGGCGCCTAACGCTTACCTCTAGTGCCAAATTAATTACGTAATTTATTTAGTAATTAGCCTTAAAACTAGCCCGATGGATTTACGGCATATGTGTGGTGATTAGCTATATTACATCGGGTTTAGCGATGATTATAATATGCAACAATGATATAGCATGAAATAAATGTGCCATTATGCCATTACTGTGATAGGTAGCACATAGTACTTGCCTGTGTGAAGTAGTGTTTTGCCCCTGTACAGTACATCCTACTTTTCCTGTTAGCAATAGAGTCATGGCATGACTCTATTGCTAACAGGAAAAGTATGGTTATGTATCTAACTCTGTTCAGGGAAAAATCTTTGAATTGAAACAATGTGGTTTCTGATTAAAACCAGAAGTTCACTTATTGTTAATTTCAGCCTCCTGCTCTTAAGCTTTTCATATCTGATCTTGACATTCCATCTATGTAACTCCATTTTTGAAATTAAGGAAGGACAGACAGACAGACATACGACAGTGGGAATTTATAGGTGTACAATTTTTCAAATTGTAGCATAACAAATTGCAGCCCAATAAGTATCCTCCAATTGACCAATCTAACACATTTTAAAAATTCTTTGAATTGTGTACAGGAGAGGAATATAGAATTTTAAAAATGTGTTAGATTTAGTTTACAAATACTTTAAATATATGTAAATTTAAAAAAAATGTTTTTGCTTTAAACAATACCTTTTATGTATGCAACACACATCAATCTGTAAATTTTTTTATTTTTTAATAAAATTTTTTAATGGAAATAACAAAATGACTGAATTATTATATGAACAACCAAATATACTTATATTTATACATAATATACAAACAAAAATACTTACATTTTGTTCTACTGTTTGAGGATGAAAAATCAAATTTGAACCACCTTCTTTTTCAGATGGAAAATTGGGATAAGTGCTATGTTTACTTCTATAAAAAGAAAAGTTTTTAATATAGATTTGTTTTTAAATATTGTTAAAAAATATCATTTACAAATAATACATAATCTAAATTTAATACAATTATTTAAATTTATATCAATAAATGTTTTGTAATACATTATGTAGACCACAATAAAAATTTGAAATTATAATTTTCATTTTGTTAACATTTTCGTTTTGTCAATAACTGAAATTGTTACTTAAACAATTTCAGTTATTGACATTGTATTTAAATTATTTAATTAATAGATATTATTTATTGAAAAAGCTACTCTGAAAAAAATTATTTTTTTTTCTCAGATTGATCATTGTTATCTCAAATGTTAAGAAATTTAACTAGCTTTGTTAATTATGTTCCTAAAAATATTGTTATTAACAGAGATTGTAACAATGTGTTAAAAACTGTAAGGAAATTCTGCTATTGTGTCTTCTCACCAAATGTAAATAACTCAAATTTGTATTCTTATTATTTGACTATATATGACACAGAAATAAAGAGAGTTCAAAAACTAGTCCAGTTGTTTATGTTGAAACGGACTGTTATTTAAATGACATTATGATTATGTATGATTATGACAGAAAGATTATGTATTAATATTACGGATTGCAATATCCAACAACAAGTTGTTTAACTTTCCTGGCAACATTTAAAACTTTGTGTGGCATCATCTGTTATGATATTTTACTAAAAAACTTTTTATATTTATAATTATTATAAAATGGCAAAAAGCTTAATTTTGAGGGTAAAGATGAGTTTTATAAAAAAAAATTGTAAATGTTAATAACAAGTAAAATTGTCATTAAGTCTGACCTTACTTGAGATATGACACACAACCCCTCTATCTCCTCACCTCATCAACCTTTAACCACCAAAATTTAATAGCATCAATAACATTAATAAACAAACCTCCCTGAAATTTCAGAAATTTTTGACAAAAAGCACAGGAATTATTAAGCTTCAAACAGGGTGAAAAAAATTGTGCCCCCTCACTAACATCCATATATACAGAAAAATCCCTAAACTTTTTAGCATTTCTCAATGTTTCAATATCCCGAGCAATATCCTGAATCCAAAAATGTAAAAATCTTGGGAAGTCATTTTTTGACTGATGACCATACTTTCCCTCTTTCCATACTTTCCCTAAGTAAAATGATGTATCCCAGGTGCCTGCCATACTGAAGAAAGGAAAAAAGTTCCTGAAATGTATTTATGGTCTGACAAGGCAAGTATACATTGGTTCAGATTAATGTTCCTTCTGTAAAGAAATAATTCACAAACTAATTTAAATTAGGAAATCTGCCCAAACATGTTATCAATTGTTTCTGACAGTTGCTTTTATCATATTCCAAAATAATGTTTCACTACAAATATATTTTATATAATGCAATGGTACCTTGTACTTCAAAGTTTGAACATGTGGCGAACGCCGCCTTTCACATCTGTATCCTTAACGGTTGTAAAAGACAAGCAATTACCCCTGGGCATATGAGTCACCACTTCCTGGAATAAATTCAAACTCACTACACAAAGACGGTCGAAAATCAGTTGTCCTTTGTTAGCCGCATCGTCGAGACATGTGCTGTACCTAGTACGCGAGAAGAACAATAAAAGTTTAGTTTTTGTTACGATCTCGTCTCGTTCGTTTCTTCCACTCGCACCGACCAAAGATAAAAGCAACCACCACGCCAAAACCACAAACATTAAACTGAACAAAAATTTGCCTCAGAGTTTGAACTGCATGCACAGTGAAAAGTGTACATGAAGCATGAACACAATCTGTTGTGCACCAAAGTCATCTCTTGCTCTCACATTACATTCATATGTTTTTGGTGCTTTTTTTATTTTATTTTTTATGTGTTTTGTTATGTATACTGTATTGTATGTTATTTGTTGATTTTTAACAATTTCTTCCTGCAATTTTTCTTCGTTAAAGTTTTTGGGTAACCTAAACATTTTATATCCTTGAATTCAAAATGTCCCAAACAGAACTTTTAAACTACATTTGACATGTTCAAAGTTTAGGAGCATCTTCCCCATACACATTACAAAATTTTGCTGTTTGTACAGTGTTATATCCTTTCCAAAACTCATAAAGCATACTATGTCTAATATATTTTTTATCTGAAGACATTTTCCACTTAATTTTATTCAAATAAATTGTGAAGTAAAAAGTTTAAAATAAGTTCTAAACAAAGAATACAACTTCAATAATGTGTTAAATTTCACAACTGTTATAATTAAATCTCACATCAATGCTAATTAATGGCAGCTGTTAAAAATATGCAAAACCTTTCTGTTCAACAAAATATACCCAACCTTTACTTACAACCCTGGCATCTGAGAAGTGTGTGAAAGGTTGTAATATTGATGACTGAGATAAAAAAGGAAACTTATCACATAAGCAGTATACATATGGTGAATCTAGTGGTAATGTTTAAGATGCTGAAGTCAATGGTATGTGACCAGAAAATGCAATTTTTATTTTATTATACAATATTATGTATTTTATTTATTTTGTGATGCTGGGACCTCACCCTTTGGACTGGAGACCAGCTGTCGAACCAAAGCCAATAAACCAATGACTTATTTTCATAAACAGAACTAGGGCTGGGAAGAAACAAGGTGCAATATGATTTAATTGTTGCATTCCAAGACCTGATTGACACATCCCTGATCATAGATTGTGAGGGAAAGCAGGAGATCGACCATCAGGGAATTTCAGTGGCCATCTTATACAGAGTTTAAAGGAAAAATGTGGGTATTCCTTCAGGAGGGGAGTGGCCAGGACCATATAAACCCAGTGGCGTCTTCTCCGAGACAAGAAAAAACACATTTGGCCGAAATTTACAGGATAGTCATGTGAGGAAGAGCATGACCAGACCCCAAGGGGAGCGGTCCAGGCAGGGGTGTTCTGACAATCCCAAGGCCTGAATTGTGTCCCTAGCAACAGATCAGGGACCAACGGAGTTAGGAGAGATCACTGTTTCAGACCAATCAAAATGCAGGATTTCAGGCAAAGATTGTATAAAAGCCCAAAATCCCAAGGACATGGAAAGGTTGGGAATGAGATTGTAGAGACCTGGGACCTATGTCAAAACTGTTCCAAAGAACAAGAGAAGCCCAGGAATTTGGAAGTTGTATGGCAAAAAGGAACTCAACCTCCCTACTGACAATTCCTCCATCCTCGAGACCTCCAACATCCAGACTTTCTCTCAGAACTTTTCAAACAAGATTTGCTGACAAACTTTCTCTGATTGGTGTGTAAACTCTTCTTCATCTTATGAGCTTCTTCAACTGGACAGTGTAATACAACTGTTGTAAGCATGATTTCATATTTTGTTTTAATAAACGCAATCAATTTTCTCACTCTGATTTCTGTGTGAGTCTCTGTGTCCAGCAACCGTTACCCCCATACATATAAACCACTTTTGCATCATCCTAACAAAGTTGCAGGAAAAGTGAGTGTCTCTGCCTCCCACCTAAGGCAGACTGCTTGTTGGTGGTGCTCCTGTTCCTTACAGAGGGTCAGATCCTTACAATTTTTTCATGTTTTAATCAGGGCTGCAGAGTCGTGTAAAAATGTACCAACTCCAACTCCGACTAGAAGCAGACTTGTTACCAAAAGAGACCCGGATATTCTGATGTCATCACATGACCTCAGAATAAAAGATTCAATAAATAGAGTTCTAATAAAGATAGAACGTAGAAACTTTTTATTCCAAAGCTAAAAGACTCCTCTAAGTAATGACACAGTCAATATATAAATATTTATTCGATAATTTTTACTTTTTCAGCTGTTATATATAACAGAGGGAAAGTGTAACACTCAATCAAAAAAATGACCCCTCCCAAATTTTTACATTTTTGGACTCAGGACACCTTGAAATTTTGAGATATGCAAAAGATTCGATTTTTTTTTTTCTATATGTGTGGATGTTAGACTGTGTGGGGGGGGCATGATTTGGTTCACCTTGTTTGAAGCCTAATAATTTCTTTGGTCAGAGTGGTTAGAATCAGAGTCAGATGGTTTAACACAGGAGTTAGTTATTAAGCGTCAGAGTGGTTAGAATCAGAGTCAGATGGTTTAACACAGGAGTTAGTTATTAAGCATCAGAGTGGTTGAACTAAATCATGTCTCCATACACATTCTAACATTGTAGGCGAGAATATCTTAACAGGTTTTACTGTACTATTATAAAATGACAAAAAGAAGCTTACTTTGAGAGTAAAGACGAGTTTTACTATTTATTTTTTAAATTTTGAATGCTAATAACGAGTAAAATATTCATTAAGACATATGACATGTGACCCCTTTTATGTCTTCACCCTAATTAAGAACCAAAATTTAATAGTATTAATGCCCCTTTATATGCAAGCTATAGTGCCACATTTTGTTTCTTAAACTTTACCCATTCTGACATATTGTTTAATATCTCAGAACAGAAAATAAAGAAATTAAACAAATTAGACGCCAACAGACACACGCGTGCGATTCTTTTATTGACTTTTTTGGGGGTTCGGGAAATCTCCAAACACGTAGATTTGCAAAACAAAAAAAACATGGAGGGTCAAATTTGACACGATTTCAACACTTTTCCATTTGTATATAAATAACAAATTGGGAAGTAAAAAGGAGTCAGAGTCGGCAAATTTTTTGACGACTCTGACTCCAACTCTGGCTAAAACACTAAAACTCCACGACTCCGACTCCACAGCCCTGGTTTTAATTTATTATTAGGGCATTTAATTATGCTATTTTTACCTAAAATTATGTGTATTTGCTATTTTAAGTTTATTGAATTGGGTATTGTTTATGGTCTAGGAATGGATTAATTGATTCAGAATTCAATTATCCTGGAATGAATTAAATTTGAAGTATGAGGACCATTTTATGTACTTTTTACATCTCCTTTTTGCAGGTAAAAAAATTTGGAATATAAGAGAATATGATTTAATATATTATTTAAAAAGACCTTTATATGTTAAACTAGCAGACAGATCCAGTGTTTCCCAGATTAAAAGCTAGTAAACTTTTAATATGGTTTCCCATTGTTTTATATCAACACAAAAATTGTCTAAATAGTTATATATTTTTGTAAAATCGCTGATTGTATATTTAAAAAATGAATATCATAAAAAGCAACATCTGAATAAACAGTGTCTCATTACAATGACCATTTCACACAAATGAAGCTTCAACCACTTCAGATCTCTTTTTAGTCTTCTTGAAGGATGTGTAGCTGCTTCACCTGATATGCAAGCAAATTGTAGCGAACATTTCACTACAATTTATAACTTCAAAAACTAATAGGTTTAAAAATGACTTTTTGAAAATTGTATATGTAACTATTATAAAATTTCATTTTGTAATCACTTTTTGTTGTTTGTGAATTTTATTCTCAAAATGCTTTACATTAAGAACAAATACCCCACTTAAAAAAAATAAGTCTTGGCTTGTTACTCTCTTAACTGGTAATATTTACACAAGTACACTCATTTTCATCCAGAGCAAGATTTTGTCAAAGGGGAAGTACAGTACATTCAAAACAACAGTAAAAATTTCTATTCCTGATTGGAATAGAATTTAAAGATACTTCTTAAATAAAATTAGAATGAAACAAGAGTTGAGTTGAACTACAGCATCTCTCAATTTTGACAAGGAATATATTAAAATAACTATTTTTTACATATAAAATCATTCAATCAATATAAATTAATTAATCAATAAATTAATTAATACTTAATATAAATAACATCTACATAAGATATGAAACAAAACCAAAACTGCAATAAAATAAAAGTTTATATGATTACCTAATTAGACATAAGCAGTTAAACAAAATTAAGAAATGTGCAATGGATATAAGATGGTTTGAATTTAATTTATTGATTAATATTCCTCTAATAAAATTATTTATTTATTCTATTTTAGAGTGATGTGCAATAATCATAGCAACATCAAATCTCAGTTTCAGATCAATTTTTATCAATTAATTCCTATTTTGCATATGAAATTATCAGATTTTCAGTCTCCAATGTCTCTATGTTCTCTCTCAGTCTCTTGGTTATGAACATTGGTTTATGTATCTAAGCTGGAGCAGAAATGGAATCTTCTCACTAATATTTGATGATAGGGAAGCTGTGCTGGCTCTGGATAGAATCATTGGAAGCATTATAAGATATTTTAGTGTGTAGCATTCACTAGCTAAACCACAAGATTGGTGCTCTGTAAAGTGCATGCGTGAATGCCTGTAATCTGGCTGCTTACACCATTCAAATATTTTTGCTGTGGAAGCTGTTCTGTATTCAACAATACAATGCTTCCACTGGGAATATGGATATACAAATTTATATTCAAATCTTATTATTTTCATATGTAGTGTAGAAATTTATAATAAGATACATAATGTGGTTATAATAAAATATTAATTTTAAGTAATTCAAAGTATGTTGAAATATGAAAATAATTGCACAATATATTAATATGTTTATATTTTAGAAAATACAAGGGGAAGCATCACTTCCACAACTTCCATGGACAGCATGACACTGATTATATATATATATATATATATATATAAAGATTATTATTATAATGAAGTTGGTTAATACTGCTGCCTAGTGCTATGCCAGACCAAGGACAAAACATAACCACAAAACAAGCTATTAATATGTTTATGTACTGTTCATATATGTATCTGTGTTTAAGAATTTCCTGATTATGTGACACGTGTTTAGTATGGCAGCCTTCTATAGTGTGATATAGGGGAGGAAGAACAACTTTACAATGCAGCAGCAGTACAGTTGGAACAGAGGCCTTTATTGTCACATTTGTATGGGAACCCAAAATTTCAAGATTTGCCGTTGGGCTGATGTTGGCATAAGATAGGCCAAAAATGTATACTAATATACTTTTTCTTCCAGAAATGAGTTTATAGCTTATTAGGTTGACAATTACAATGTCATGTGACTTAACTGTCAAGTTTGCTAAAATGACATCATAATGAAATAGGGAATAATTACCAGAAATTTATCAGCTTTCAAGATACAAATTCAAATTGGAGTGTCTAATATCATCAATTAAAGTATAGATTGAATATACATAAAATGAATGGGAGAACTAAAGATGAGGCAAGCATATGTTTGATATTCCTTGTATCTTTGATGTTTCAAGATGAATGTCTGTGGTGCACAAAAGACTTTTAATGTTTTCTAAAGACAATCTTGGTGTTAGACAAAGTGACTTCAGATAAAGAAAAAGCTATTTGAAGAGATGGGTTATATGCCAATTTAAAATCAGCATATAACCCATCTCATACAACCTGTTCCACTTTCAAACTTTCTTTTAAACACAGATAACCCATGAGTAATATGCATGAAAATACAATAATTATTTTTAGATATAAATTTTCAATTTGGTTACTATTAAATTACCTGTATGAAAGATACCATTTTCGGATATCATCTTTTAATTTTTCTTTCATGTCATCTGATTCTTGTAATCTTATTTGCATCTTAATATCAACAAGAGATTTTTCATATAGTTTTAAGTTTTCTGCTTTCATTTTATGCTGTAATTCTCTGTGCTGTTCCAAATCACCATTATATGTTGTTTTTATGTCTGCTGGTAATATTGTTGAAGATAGCTAAAAAAATATAAAATAAGATATATACTTAGTATGAACATTTCTTCTTCTTCCAGTTCTATATTCATTTCTGAATGTAGGATTATTATTATTATAACAATCTCAATTGTACTTCACATGCGAGTTCTTCTGCTTTCTTATTTTTCCATTCACATACATTGCCTAACCAAATTTTCCTTCTCCTTCCTGAGCTTATCTTTCCACAGATTTTTCCCTCTAAAATATTTCTCAAAATTTCATATTCACTTCCTCAGATGATGTGGCCAAAATACCCATCTTTCTTCTTTTAACTGTATTATTTAAAACTTCTTTTTCTTTCCCCATTCTTTCCATAACTTCATCACTTGTTATTCTATCTGTCCAAGATATTTTTAAAATTCTTCTATATAACCACATTTCGAATGCTTCAAGTCTGTTTAAAATATTTTTATCTAAGGTCCATAAAACAAAACTGACATCACATAACACCTTAACATTCTAACTTTAAGATTTAAAGTTAGAATGTTAAGGTGTTTGCATTTGAAAAATTTCTGCACTCTGATAAAAGTACCCCTTGCATTTTCTATTCTAGATTTAATTTCTTTAATGCATCTTCCATCTTCCTGTATGTTAATATGAACATTTACTTTATAAGTAACTGTTTAATTTTACAAAATCTTTCATTGTTGTCATAAGATACCTTCTCAATGTAAAAATTAATTTTTAAAAGAATATTTTTATTTTGATGATTTTACTTCTAACCAATGCATTCTCAAACTCCACTAATCTTTTTATGCTGGGATGTTGATATAGCTTACGTAAGTCATCAGAACTGTTTAAGATTCATATGTTAAAAGTGAAATTATCAAAGTTCTTTTACATTATTTTTAAAATTTTTTGAATAATTTAATTTCTCAGGTTATATACAGGAAATTACATACAGCACTTTTATTCTTTAAAATTAAAAATCATAGTTATTTGAATTTTTAAGATTTAAAAAAAAAAAACCACTTAAAAATTTTTCACTTAATATTATATAAACTATTTTCAACACATTAATTTAAATGCAAAATAAAAATATTATTTAAAATTAACTTCTCTTATTTCCTTTAATTAAATAATTTACAGATAATCATTTTATAGTTGCTTTGATTCATTTTGATATAGAAAACTTTATGAGGTTGCCAAAAGGGGAAAGAATTTTGAATGAAATTGAATGCTTACAGAATATTATAAAGTGTGCTCCCTCTCAAACAATGAGTTAGAGAGTCCAATAACAGGATTTTGTTGATGAAGTTCCCTTGATGAGTTGGTGGTGGCCCAAAGCAGTGTCATAGATAAATCCAGAGATGGGCCTGGTGATGTTCAGTGAGAGGATAAGCTGTGGCTTTGACAGCAGAGTGAAGACAGATGCAACAGTGGTTCATTGATAGCAGAACACAAGAATAGGAAAGAAAGAGCAGATTTATGCAGAAAATTTGTGAGAAGAAAATCTATGATATTGGGAGCAATAAATCCCTGATGTTGAGAAAGGCAAAGCTGCCTCTATCCTTGAAATTCAGGGGGTTTTAAAGGATTTATCCCCAAATTTTATCTTCTGATTGGTCCTGACTCTTTCCCATCATCTCTCAATTAGTTATTTTCTTGTCTCCAAGTGAAATTGACCATATTGAGTTGCAACAAAAGGCCTATCTTCAGTATTCATCTGACACCATATCTCTCCTCCACTGAGGGATGTTGATCAGTCTTTGAAACTTTCACTTGTATTTTAGACAATGTTTTCTGTCCTGCCATCCAAGAATTTTAATAATTATATCATGATGGTTTCCCTCATTAAGATCCCATTTCTTCCAAAGTTTATCTGTTCTATAAGCATCAGAATCAAGGTTAAAATTCTCCAGTCTGACATTGATAAAAATTCTAAAATGTGTGCTCTAGTCATACTTGGAACTTAAACTATTTATATCACATTGCATCTATTTTATACATTTTCTTCTCTATAATAAAATACATTTTTAGCATGTTCAGAGAGGAATTTGGACCCTGTCTGGGGCCTCACAATTTTAGTTATTAAGACCAAATGTCTAATTTTTATATTCACAGTTAGTATCAATTTATAACAAACTTTAATCAAATTTAGTGAAAAAATATTAATAATAGTAATTACCATTCCAAGCAATTTTTTTTCTCTAATTAAGTTAACTTTATTTTTCTTCCTAGTACTGTATAATTTCCAATTCTGAAAAGTAAAATGTAAATTATTCATATAATTTATTTTTAAAAACATTTACGACTATTTATGATAAATTATGTTAAATCTAACAATTTATAATTGAAATTATTGAAAATTAATTTATTTTTAATAAATGCTATCTAATTTAAGGTCAATAAATTAAATAGTATAAATATTATAAATGTAATAGTATAAATACATAAATTCATATTTTATGTTTAATATTATAGTATACAAATTAAATTTATATAGTAACATACTTTTTGAATTAAAAATGCTGCATTCTCATATTCCATAGATGAACACATTTTATTGTCTTTTTTCTTTTTTATCCTGACATTAAGATACTTTGCTCTGCATTGTCTTGATCTTTCATGATTTTGAATTAAAACTGCTGCATCATCAAAGCACTCAATTATATCATTATTTGCCTATAATTAATCAATTTTAAATAAATTAAAAATAAAAATCTTTAAAATTATATTATAATTTAAAAATGATAAGTTTTAATAAAATTACATTTAAAACCATAATAATATATCATTTTAAAAATTAACTGTTATTTATTTTTTATTTTGAAATATTAATAATATTTTTATCAACACCAATACTTAGTTTATGATAATATTGTATATAAAAATGAATTATTACAAAGAATAAACTAAAAGCAATTAGTTTATTTTAAAAAAAATGATTTATTGGAGGGGAATAAACTGTTTATGCCCAATATTTTAACATTTAAAAATCCCAGTTCAGAGACAAAATTATTATTAAATAATTTTCAATTTCAGCATTATTTTTATTTCTGAAGTTATATGAAAACTATAGATACTTCTTCATCAATTAGCCTAACTGAAATATTACCGTATTTACTCGCTTATAAGACAATCTCACATATAGGACAATGTGTGATTTTAAAGATCAAAATAAAGAAAATTAGATGTATTAATACAATTTTATTTTATTTCATTTAATCACAGATGAAATGTCAAATGCACTTAAATGCACACATTGTCCCGCAAAAATTACTGGCATTTTAAACTTTAAGGAAAAATCTTGTAAAATCGACAACATAATTTGTTCACGTAAAGTTGGAAAATTGGGACCTTTTTTGCCAATTCTTAACAGTCGGATCCACTCTCCATCGATTACACTTATGAGTTTTTCTGAATTCTGATTTCCAAATAATCATCTGTTTTCACATGGGAATAGATTAAAACTTATATCAGGCTCCCATATGATTTTGGAATTTTAAATTGAAATTCAATTCAAAAGCTCTGCTTTCCCTATTGCTATTCATCTTTACTCCTGACAATACAAAAGAACGATTGAAACAACCCAGATAAAATACTTTTGTTTTTAAACACCAGAGGGTGAGCATCCAGTAAAAACTGCAAATACACAGTTCACAAAAATTATTGCAAAAACATGATGATTCCTTCACTTGCGTGTATAGGATGACCTAGGTTTTTGAAGCAATGAAAAATGAATAAAAACCTCGTCTTATATGCAATTAAATACAGTATATGAAAATACTTTTCATATAATTTATTTTTTATATATAGCCTATATATGTAGGAGAGTCAAAAATTAAGTTGCACTCATACCAAAAATATAAGCATGAAACATACAGGTCAAAAACTTTTATTTGTATAAATGTACAATCTAAATGCTACTTTTTGATATAATCATTATTTAAACATTTATCATAAAGAGGCATATGTTTCTCTATTCCTTCTTGAAAGTATTCCCATCCAACACATGATAACCATTCTCATGTTGCATTTGTGACATGTGACTTGTATTGGTGATTCAAAAGGACACATTTCCCTCAATTGACTTGTTAGTTACAGCCTTGGACAATTTCATTTTTGAATACAACAGTTTTGGGTGATTTTGAAAACTCAACACCTGTTTTTCAAGCTATCAAAATTTGTGTTTGTATGCTTCCCTATTCACCTGCATTGACAGACTCTTAAAGTTCTATCTTCTTGAGAGATGTTTTCCAATAATCTATTCAGCTTATCCAATATGAAATTTTTTCATCAGAAACTTGGAAATTATTTGTCAGAATTCAAAGGTATTGTAGATTATAAACTCTCTCTCTCTGCAATTGTAACAATATAACACTAACATTATATCCAGAGCCGGTCCTACCATAGGGCGAACGGAGCAGCCGCTCCAGGCGCTAAGTCCTAGCGGGTGCCTCAGTAGTAAAGAAAATTAAAGGAAAAAATATTTTTTTTCACTTTTCGATATTTTAATTGCAAGCGTGTGGCCAGTATGTGAATGGCCTTATCTGTTGAGATGCGTGTGGATCGAGTGCGTGGTCCACCCCCGGGCGCCATAATAGAATCTCGCTCCATCCTAAAACTTGCCTCGGGCCGGCACTGATTATATCTAACTTATATGTGTAATGTATTATACAAGCTTTAGTGCATCTATTAAATGGTTTAATTAAGTGTAAGTTCACTGTGTTGAGTGACTCCTCCCAACTGGATCTCATCATTTCCTTCTCCATCCTCTTACCTCTAGTCTCTCATATGAGACTGCATCATTGCCATCCCCAAACACTTAAGACTCAAATATATTGTAGACATAACCTACTTAGTATCAGAAATTTCCATGTAATCACTTACATTTGGTAATATGAATAAAAATAGAGGGCCAATCCCTCATATATAATCTTGTGTTAAAATATATATATTATATTTTAATGCATGACTTTTTAGTGTAAAATTATATTATTATATTTTAATATATTTTAAGAAATTTTTAAAAATTTTTACCTTATTAATTTTATTTATTGAAGTTTTCTGGAAACCTTTTTGATAAATTATTTCAACCTCTTCTTCTTTCGGTAACAAATACCATTTTGGAATAGGTAATTCCAAATCCTTCTATTATATAAAATGAAATAGTTAATTTTCATACAAGATTAAAAACAAATTACTGTATTTTCACTTATTTTGTTGTAAATAATAATAATATATTATAACAGCTCTAGCCTTCTCCAGCACAAAATATTTTACTTATTGAATGCGTTTGGCTGTCTAGGCATCCATCCTCAGGATCAAACATTAACTGATTGGAATATGAAATATAGAACAATTTTTAAAAAATTGTTCTATATTTTTTAATATTTTGTTAGTTTATAGTTATACTATTTGTCTTGGCCAAGGATATAGAGATTTACATGTTAAGGAATTCAGTTAATTCAAAATACTTCTTCTCTGAAATTTGAAGTGTAAATTCTGTCCAAACTGTAATATGCATATGTTAACTCATATGTTTAGATCAAAGTTCATGTGCCTCCATACTATAAGAGAATAATAGACCACTAACAACTTTAATCTGGTCAGTATGGCTTTGCTTTAACAGTAACACATTTTTGGGTGTCACCTTACCCATTGACTACCCTTTTTCTCATAAAATACAACTGATTTTCAGGATTACATAGGGCTATAAGAAGCAGATGGAGATATTTGTAGGTCTCTATACTACTAGATTTGGGTGACTTACTATTTTTTGGGGCTACTTTAAAAATAATTTAGGCTACATTTTTGCTGGTTAAGAAAAGATATAGGAGCTGGAGAACAAAACATAATATAACTTTGGTTGCCCAGAACAAAATCATGCTGCCACTATTACAAATCAAAATAAGCCTTATGAAACAATTTGTAAAGGCTCGAACAAAAATAGTCTGTGCTTTAACTACATATTAAATCCAAACTAAGGACAGGTAATATTAATAAGAGTATTAGATCAATAATCAGTATACATTACATTTTCAGGGGTAAATATATATTTCTATATCTTCAATGGCACTATGTTACTGCAATACAACATAAGAAAAAGATATGCTACTGTCAATGCCTGCTATAATATTTTAAATTTTTAAGTGTTATTTGCCCACCAGTGGCCGAGTGGTCTTCGTACCCTAAACACTGGGAGTTCGGTCGTGGGTTCGCGCCGCGATCGGACAGGCTGGCTGCTTGGAGTTTTCCGGGTTTTCTCCTTGCCAATAATGACTAAATAGGAGGCCAGTTCCCCATAAAAGTCCTCCCGGAAGGCATTAGTTCCCCTCGCGTAACATCGCGCCCCAGAGAAGGCAACGGGAAACCACTCTGGGTAGTAACTTTCCCTAGTATACACCTTGGCGGATTACAAACCTACGCCAGGTGTCGCCGACGTCAGGAATCTGATCTGGCACCAAGAAGAAGAAGAAGTGTTATTTATGTACAAAATATTTGTGTAAAATCTTAAAATTTTAAGATTTTTTTTTTAAATTTTCCAGCATGCTACTCTACATATCATGTTTTTAATTACAGTACTGTTAATGTCTAAATATTAACAGTACTGTAATTAGGATTGAATATGGAATTTGTTAAATAAAACTTTCACTTTACATCATTCAAATGTTTACATGATTTTATGAATAGTGATTAATTAAAAAATATATGCACTGCATGAAATTCAAGAAAGATTTCATAATTGTTTTTCCTAATTAAAATTTTAATGTTTTAGTACTAAAAATAGCAAAACAAAACTGAAAAGACTAGAATCTTATAGAATAATGTTATATAAATCTACTATTAATTTTTTTTAAAACGTTAATATTTTTACTACTACTGTCAAGTGAGATATGACATAATAGGAGTTGGAAAAGTAAAATTCTGAGAAAAGTAGATAAACTATAAAAACAATCTAGGAAAAAATGTAATTTACAATCAAGTGTCAACAGGAAAACACAGTTATTTCTTACAATTGCCAAAAAATAACAAAAATTGGAGGAATTTGGAATAAAAGTTTATTTTTTTTATTACCTCAGATTATAGAAAATAAAATTAAAAATAAAAATAAAAATATATTATCTTTCTTGAATATTCTGAAAGCAACCATCTCCATTGATCACTCAATCACCTACAGACAATTAAGTGAAACGTTTTCCAATTAAAATTATATTCAAAACAGCATTGTCTCATGTTATCACTCATGAGCAATTATGTAAAGGTTCATGATAACATTTGTATGATATTTATATGATAATTATATGGTGACAATTACATTCAGAATATTGGTGTCTCACATAATTACACATGTAAAAGAGCTTGCATTTACTTGCAAATTTCCTAGGAATTCTGAAATTTTGGCAAATTCTGACTCAGGAAAATTTCATTTGTGAGTAAATTTTGACCCATATTTTCCTATGCAAAAAATACAGGCAATTCCCAATTTACAAATAATCACTATAACAAATGTGCATGTAGGACCATCTGGAGGGGTAGATGGAAATTTTTCCAATCTGTAGAAAATTTGCATGCCTATAGTGGTTCCTAGTCCTATAAATTTAAAGTTATTTTTACTAACAGAAAATATAACCTTTAAGGTTTCATTTTATTAATACAGAAACATTATAAATATATCATTTGTTCAAAAAAATAATGGCTAGGATTTAGTTACATGAACTTATATGTTAAATCATTCTATTTACTACATATTAATACTTACTGGAATCATTCTCATATCTAAGAGAAGATTATTTATAAAATGAAACTCTTGATTTTCTATTTTAACTAATTCTGCCTTCAATTCCAAAATACGTCCAATCACTCCCTCTAATATCTTTCTGAATGTTAATATTTTCTGTGGTTGAATAATTTGATCGTAACATTTTTCCAAGTTTTTGACAATTTTTATGTATCTCAAATATAAAATAGCTATTCTATTAAATGTGTTCTGCAAATCCTGTAAATAATAATAGAAAATAGAAACATTTGATCAAAATTAATATCCCAATAGTTATTTAAAATTCACTACTTTTAAATTATTTAAAACTATGAATAAGTAAAATTAAAATGGTAAAAATTTTTTAAATTAATAAATACTATCAATAAATACTAAAGACTGGTCATTTTCCTTACAATACTAAAACAAAAATTCCTTACATGTAATAAAAAGTAGAATACAAATAACAACACTAACAACAACTGCAAAAACACAAGATTAGTAAAGACAAAAAGAGCAAAGGTATGATAGGATAAGTGGCCCACACTAATTGAGTCTGATGTCTGATGATTGAGTAGCAATTTTCAGTATTGGTGAGTTATAAGGAACTTCAAACAAAGAACAAACAACTCACCAGATTCTGACATTATTACCTGAATGTAATGTCTTTGGAAGTAAGCACAGAATTGTTATGGAGAACTTATTGTATTCAGAAACACAGTTGATTGGTTATGCAACTTTATTATATAAAATGTTTTTAATATAATAAATGTTGTCTTTTGTTGTTGACTAGTAGGTTATGTCTCCTTTTAAAATGGAAACAGATTACAGTCCAATAATCCAAAACAAAGAGCTTTATTTCAGCAATGTTTACAGCCTATAATTTTACATCTTGTCTCAACTGTCATGAGGGTAAAAGTGCATGACAATGCAGAACAATTTTTTGTTTTGCCAACCCTCACTTTTCGATTGCTATGATTCCTTTACAATAAATGTAACATTTTCTTGTATAATAAAGTCTACATAACCAATTAATTGTGTTCCTGTATAAGTTCTCCATAGCAATTCTCTGCTTACTTCCAGACTCTAAATTTAGAGAACAAGAAGCAATTGACTACTATGAATATGTTCTTAGATGTCAATCTACTAGTCTGATCCTTTCTAGTCTCTGAGATCTTAATCACTCATTACAGTGAGACATTGTTTCTCATTTTGTGTGAGACACAAGATCCTCAAATCAAAATCCTCATGGATGTCTCTCCAAAATTATAACACAGAGCTTGCATTTACTTGCAAATTTCCTAGGAATTCTGAAATTTTGGCAAATTCTGACTCAGAAAAATTTCATTTGTGAGTAAATTTTGATCTATAATATTTTACTATGCCAAAAGTACAGGCAATTTCCAATTTACAAATAATCACTATAACAAATGTTCATGCAGGGCCATCTGGAGAAGATGGAAATTTTTCCCTGACCTGGAGAAAATTTGGATGACTACAGTGGTTCTTAGTCCTATAAATTGAAAATTATTTTTACTAACAGAAGATAAAATCTTTAAGACTTTATTTTATTAATTAATATGGAAATATTCTACATATATCATTGGTTCAAAAAATAATGGTTAAAGGAGCCCACTAAGAGACGAAGAGGCCCACTCTATCCCCGGCCTGCTTATGATCAACCTTTCACTATCACCAGTAACATGGGTAATGGCCAAATGCATACAGGTTGCTAGATTATGAGAAAAATTGGGAAGTGGTCCAAATGAAAAAGGTTTTACTTTTTTTTTTATCATTTGGATGACTTTTTTTGGGTTATTTAGTTTCTTCTGATGAGTAGTTTAATTATCTGAATTTAATCACACTAATGAGTAATGACAGGTAAAAGCTTATTAACAATAAGCAAGCATACTATTATTACAGGTATATCTTGCCTTATGTTGGTAATTGGTTCCAAGAGAGGCGATATAAGTCAAATTTACTTGTCTCCGAATATACTTGTCACTAAGCTAAACCATAAATTACCATTCCTGGTTCTGTATTTTATTTATTAATGCATTTTTAATAATATATGGTTAATAAGAATCTATTTTAAGCTTACAAACAAATAAATTTTAGTTTTTAATATAGTACAGAAAAAAGTAATCTAAATTTACAAATGTATGTACTGTAAATACAGTACANAAAAATTTTTCACTTAATATTATATAAACTATTTTCAACACATTAATTTAAATGCAAAATAAAAATATTATTTAAAATTAACTTCTCTTATTTCCTTTAATTAAATAATTTACAGATAATCATTTTATAGTTGCTTTGATTCATTTTGATATAGAAAACTTTATGAGGTTGCCAAAAGGGGAAAGAATTTTGAATGAAATTGAATGCTTACAGAATATTATAAAGTGTGCTCCCTCTCAAACAATGAGTTAGAGAGTCCAATAACAGGATTTTGTTGATGAAGTTCCCTTGATGAGTTGGTGGTGGCCCAAAGCAGTGTCATAGATAAATCCAGAGATGGGCCTGGTGATGTTCAGTGAGAGGATAAGCTGTGGCTTTGACAGCAGAGTGAAGACAGATGCAACAGTGGTTCATTGATAGCAGAACACAAGAATAGGAAAGAAAGAGCAGATTTATGCAGAAAATTTGTGAGAAGAAAATCTATGATATTGGGAGCAATAAATCCCTGATGTTGAGAAAGGCAAAGCTGCCTCTATCCTTGAAATTCAGGGGGTTTTAAAGGATTTATCCCCAAATTTTATCTTCTGATTGGTCCTGACTCTTTCCCATCATCTCTCAATTAGTTATTTTCTTGTCTCCAAGTGAAATTGACCATATTGAGTTGCAACAAAAGGCCTATCTTCAGTATTCATCTGACACCATATCTCTCCTCCACTGAGGGATGTTGATCAGTCTTTGAAACTTTCACTTGTATTTTAGACAATGTTTTCTGTCCTGCCATCCAAGAATTTTAATAATTATATCATGATGGTTTCCCTCATTAAGATCCCATTTCTTCCAAAGTTTATCTGTTCTATAAGCATCAGAATCAAGGTTAAAATTCTCCAGTCTGACATTGATAAAAATTCTAAAATGTGTGCTCTAGTCATACTTGGAACTTAAACTATTTATATCACATTGCATCTATTTTATACATTTTCTTCTCTATAATAAAATACATTTTTAGCATGTTCAGAGAGGAATTTGGACCCTGTCTGGGGCCTCACAATTTTAGTTATTAAGACCAAATGTCTAATTTTTATATTCACAGTTAGTATCAATTTATAACAAACTTTAATCAAATTTAGTGAAAAAATATTAATAATAGTAATTACCATTCCAAGCAATTTTTTTTCTCTAATTAAGTTAACTTTATTTTTCTTCCTAGTACTGTATAATTTCCAATTCTGAAAAGTAAAATGTAAATTATTCATATAATTTATTTTTAAAAACATTTACGACTATTTATGATAAATTATGTTAAATCTAACAATTTATAATTGAAATTATTGAAAATTAATTTATTTTTAATAAATGCTATCTAATTTAAGGTCAATAAATTAAATAGTATAAATATTATAAATGTAATAGTATAAATACATAAATTCATATTTTATGTTTAATATTATAGTATACAAATTAAATTTATATAGTAACATACTTTTTGAATTAAAAATGCTGCATTCTCATATTCCATAGATGAACACATTTTATTGTCTTTTTTCTTTTTTATCCTGACATTAAGATACTTTGCTCTGCATTGTCTTGATCTTTCATGATTTTGAATTAAAACTGCTGCATCATCAAAGCACTCAATTATATCATTATTTGCCTATAATTAATCAATTTTAAATAAATTAAAAATAAAAATCTTTAAAATTATATTATAATTTAAAAATGATAAGTTTTAATAAAATTACATTTAAAACCATAATAATATATCATTTTAAAAATTAACTGTTATTTATTTTTTATTTTGAAATATTAATAATATTTTTATCAACACCAATACTTAGTTTATGATAATATTGTATATAAAAATGAATTATTACAAAGAATAAACTAAAAGCAATTAGTTTATTTTAAAAAAAATGATTTATTGGAGGGGAATAAACTGTTTATGCCCAATATTTTAACATTTAAAAATCCCAGTTCAGAGACAAAATTATTATTAAATAATTTTCAATTTCAGCATTATTTTTATTTCTGAAGTTATATGAAAACTATAGATACTTCTTCATCAATTAGCCTAACTGAAATATTACCGTATTTACTCGCTTATAAGACAATCTCACATATAGGACAATGTGTGATTTTAAAGATCAAAATAAAGAAAATTAGATGTATTAATACAATTTTATTTTATTTCATTTAATCACAGATGAAATGTCAAATGCACTTAAATGCACACATTGTCCCGCAAAAATTACTGGCATTTTAAACTTTAAGGAAAAATCTTGTAAAATCGACAACATAATTTGTTCACGTAAAGTTGGAAAATTGGGACCTTTTTTGCCAATTCTTAACAGTCGGATCCACTCTCCATCGATTACACTTATGAGTTTTTCTGAATTCTGATTTCCAAATAATCATCTGTTTTCACATGGGAATAGATTAAAACTTATATCAGGCTCCCATATGATTTTGGAATTTTAAATTGAAATTCAATTCAAAAGCTCTGCTTTCCCTATTGCTATTCATCTTTACTCCTGACAATACAAAAGAACGATTGAAACAACCCAGATAAAATACTTTTGTTTTTAAACACCAGAGGGTGAGCATCCAGTAAAAACTGCAAATACACAGTTCACAAAAATTATTGCAAAAACATGATGATTCCTTCACTTGCGTGTATAGGATGACCTAGGTTTTTGAAGCAATGAAAAATGAATAAAAACCTCGTCTTATATGCAATTAAATACAGTATATGAAAATACTTTTCATATAATTTATTTTTTATATATAGCCTATATATGTAGGAGAGTCAAAAATTAAGTTGCACTCATACCAAAAATATAAGCATGAAACATACAGGTCAAAAACTTTTATTTGTATAAATGTACAATCTAAATGCTACTTTTTGATATAATCATTATTTAAACATTTATCATAAAGAGGCATATGTTTCTCTATTCCTTCTTGAAAGTATTCCCATCCAACACATGATAACCATTCTCATGTTGCATTTGTGACATGTGACTTGTATTGGTGATTCAAAAGGACACATTTCCCTCAAT